ACTTGTTTTCTTCTAATTCTCTCTATCCATTTGTAGGTTTCATTTCACCCCTCTCCTCAACTCTCTCGACCTCGCACCACTTGATTGGCCACTCTGCCTCTCCCCTGCTCCCGCCTCCTCCTTTATCCTGGCTGTTGTTTTCCCAGGCTATATAATCTTTGCTGACTGCCCTATCTTTCTTACACCCAAAGAAGTGTAAGAACAGCCAAAATGCTGGGTTTTCCTTCTTCTCTTTTCAGCATTGAATAAACCTATTACTTGTTCCTAATTAATATATAGTGTATATATTCAAACAAAACACCCAAATCATCACATAATGAGATTCCAGTTGTGATTACTGCAGAATGCCAAGGCAACATTAATTTGTGGTGTACTATATGTTTTGCATTAAAGATACTAGCAAAATGATGCATTTCCATAAACAATTTCTACAGTAGTCAATTTTTTAGAGTAGTCTAGCGAAAATACTGTTCTCTTCATGGCAGTGCTCTGAAAGAGCTCAAAACTGGGACATCAGCAGAGAACGAAGCTCCAGGTATAATGACAGTTTATATATCTCACAAATGGAGTCACACTTTGGTTCCTACTGTGTTTTATTAGTGATGGATAATCTGAGTAGTGAATTTTTATTGTTGAATTAATAAATATTGACAAGGCCATTTTATACTCTGCAAACATGAGTCACAGGCAACTGGCTAATTATCATTGAATATCAAAGCAGTTTATGTCTGTAAGGTACATCTACACTTCATTTGAATAAAATCTGCTATATAAAACCAATTTAGAAGTCTGCCTTCAGCGATACCATTAGAAATGTTAAGCCACTACTGTCCTGAAAACAGCTTCACAAAATGTAAGTGATGACAATGTTCAACAAAAAGCACTATACAATGATTTGTTAACTGTGGTTCACATTTTAAAACTCCATTTGGCTACAGATAGCCTCTAAACCCATTATTGATAATGGTCAAGCATATTCAAAATCTCAGTATCCACTCAAGATTTACAGAAATTAAAAACTTGATTAATTCATAAAGCAATGCTGGATCGCTGGATCCCAGACTAGAAAAAGCTCTCTATTTCTCCTGTACACAATGTCCACAAAAAAAAACAGAATATAAATAAACCCATCTCAAAAGACTCCCAAAATGAGAAAATCTTAAAAAAAACATTTAGTTTCATGATCTAGTTTCTACAAGGTAACCTGGGTCAGAACCCATTCCTTTAGATTGTTATTGTTTCTCTATCAGAACAGGTTTACAAACACAACAAAACAATGAAGGTGGAGATTTCCTATTGTCTTATGATTTTTACCACATACCTGAGAAAAGATTTATTTTCCATAGAATGAGGTTTAAATATCAGAAATGGGACCATGAGGCCACAACTCACCAAAGAAATGAGCCCACCTGTGGCAGCTGTTCATCCCGACAGCAAAGCAGTGAGACAGAGCAGGAGGCTGATAAAAGCACACGCAGGAGCAGGAGAGACCCGGCCAATCAGAGCTCCGCAAGCAACAGCCCAGGGAGAAGGAGCGCTTCTCCCTGGGCTGTTGGACCCAGTTGGACACAAAGGCTACTCTGAACAGACTGGAGACAAGGACTAGCAAGAAGGTTGTGAATGACTTCTGGCACAGACCACTGAAGAGTCCAACCACTGGGGACAGACACCACACTCTGGGGGCACAGCTTCCAAAGAAGCAGCATAAATAACCACAGCCATGAGATAAAGATAGATCAACAAATTTCCGGAGCAATATTTTTCAAAGAATCAGACTAAAAGAACTTAAAAAATGAGCTTTTCTGAAGTTCTTATTTTACAGGAAATTAACTGTGATGTCTGAGTAGAACAAGTACCTGTGGGTACAATAGTAATGATGAATTTCCATGATAACAATACCAATTGATTTTATTTTTGGAAAGGGGTTTGTTTTCTTCTCTTTTTCAGTTTAGATCCCAAAAAGACTCATGAACAGCCATTAGCCTGTAGCGCTGGAGAGCTCCTGCGGGTCATTTCTCTCTCCAGCTTCAAGTGTCACTGCAGAAGCTCAAGCTTCTACAGGGACTGAATCAATAGCACTAAATGAGCCGTAGGAAGTTTAAACTTCTCCTTGAGAGTGCCTGCACCAAATCCCTACTGTACATATTTATTTGCTCCGCAGGTGCAGCAACCAGCACCGCAGAAGGGAGCCTGGACAGTGCAGTGGGTGCCAAGAGCCCGTAAATAAAGCCTGGACAGTGAGAGATCACTCAGTTGTTGGTTTATGTGCTCTTGGTCCCCTTGCTCATTTCTTTTAGCTACTTTTTATTTTGTCTTTTGAGTGTTCGTACAGAGGAGCTCACACCAGGACAATCCTATGTTATAGGCTGTATATTGTAACAGCAATTCATTCATAAAGGGCTATCTATGCTCACAAAGCATCTTGCAGCAGAAAGGCAAGTTTATACATAAAGAACAACTTCCCTCTAAGAAGACCTGCCCAAACCATGGATTGTTCCCAAGAATAATCCACACTAACTAGTACTGTTACAATAATCCTTTGCCTTTGAGATTTATCCATGCAGTTTACTTTGCCAAAGTGAATTTTCATAGGGAAAGTATCATAATTAATAAGAATGTGTAACTAAAGACATGGCCAGCTATGAATGGTTGCCCTGTGGCCACCCCTTGTAACTTACCTTTTTATAAGTAATAAGCTACTCCAGTCCTGTCTGTCTCAGTGCTAGAACTGCTATCAAGTGTTTGCACTATCACTTTGGAATCACTCTCCAGACAATATACTGAGGGGAAGACTGCATCAAAGAGGTTTTTCCAGCTTTGCATGTATGTCTTTGTACTTGGTCTCCATAGCAAAACCCTTTTCTGTCTTTATCAGGATACATCTGACAGTCCCCTTTTACAATGAAACACTCATTGTTCAAAAGCGTGACTTGGTGAGACTGGACCACAAGTCTGAACCCTGATTTTGCATGAAATCTCTTGCTTATAAAGAGAAGCTGAAACAGGGAGACTGCCCTTTATGCTATCAAATACTCCATCTACTCCTTCACGTATTTGTGCATTGTGAAAGAGGACCATGGAGGATACTGCTCAGGGAGAGTGAGGAGGCAGTGAGTTCACACAGCTCGAGTTTCTGTGCTTTGGATCTCACACCCAGACTTCTTGTCACTCCCCACGCTCTCCCTCGCAAACACCGTTACATTGCCAAACCCACTGTTTCACGATCTCATTCCTAATTGAACCCATCACATTCCCACGTGCACCAATTCCACAAATTCTCACTCCCGGACCAATTATCCAACCACGTCCCTTTCCCTTCAGTATTTAAAGTTCCCTCACGCACCAACCCGTGCTCACTATTGAGAAGCCTCCTGTAGTATTTGTCGCGGACGTCCAAAGGGACTAACCGTGGGGAGCAGGAGAGCCGAAAAAGACACATATGCATAGCGGCGAGACGGGGAAAAGGCCCGGGCTCATAGTGCAAAGAGATCAGGAATGCCGTATAGAAACCTATGCCCTCAGGGAGCGGACGTGGGGCGCCCTGGTGCTAGGCGGGTCTCAGGACATCCGAACATCAATGCTGAGCGAGGACAGAGTGCAAGACCCGGAAATATATAGCCCAAGGAAGAGAGGGACAGGAAGGACAGCAGAACGGAAACTAGGGACAGGACAGAGAAGGAGCGCCCTCTGGCTGCAGAGGGCGTGACAGTATTCTCTTGTGTATGTTTCAACCCTTTATTGACTGATCTCCTGATTCCTTATCTTCGCTCCTGCCTTTTTTGACCACGCTGTTTTGATTTCATTTTTTGGATTGTCTTAGTACCACTTGGCTCTCTCAGCCCAGGTTGAAAATATTCGACTGTCCCTGAAGCCTCTTGATTAAAGCACAACTGAATCATTGGAAAGAATGGGGATGCATGGAACAAACTGAGAAAAACCTTGGCAAAGTGCAATCAAAAGACAGGAAAGCCAGTGGTAATATCAGGAAACCCGAAAGTCAGAAAAATAATGTAAAACTATCACAATTTGTTGATATCAGCTTGTGTGGAGTCTGTTCGTGAAACAAGTAAAGGTTAATTCCACAACAAAAAGTAGAAAGAAGAAACAAGTTTAATTTCCTTGAGACTTGAAGTCTCAACAGCCTAAACTTTGCATTTCTTCTTTAGAGTTGGGGTTTGCATGGAGCTGAAGTTAAAGTTCTAGGCCTTTTCAAAGTACAGAGGAAAAAGGGTGGATATTGTAATGTTGTAGTGTTTTAAAGTACATTAAGAATATCTTCTGACAGTAGTCAGATTTTACACACATGCTGCATGTCTGCTAACCATGCTTGTATGCTTTAGTCTCACTGTACGGCAACAGGAGATACAGCAGCAGCTTTCATCTGGAGAGTGGGGTCCACCGCGCGGCAGCCGTGGGTTTTACCGCGCGCGCAGACCGAAGCGCGCGGCTGGGTCGCGGGGTGGAGGGGTTCATGGCTTCGGGGGGCTAGTAACTAGAAACCGGGGTCGCGGCTAGAAGGCTGAAATTATGACGCCAATTGAGATTAGAAATAGAAAACAATAACACAGGACGTTTAGTACAGCACATAATTTGCTTTGTGCAACAAACAAAACACTTCGCAGTTTTGGAGAAATGGCTGTACAACAACGTACAGGTACATTGTAAGTATCAGCAGCATTAAGCTTGTTTCACATTTTAGGAAAAATTAAATTACAGAAAATACTAAATGTTAATAGAAGGACGTTTACTTAATACAGTGAATATGGTACAGCAATATTACCCAACGATCTGTAAAAAGCTTTTTGTCTAAGAATTTACTTTTTTTTATATTTACCTCCTGAAAAAAATATTTTTACATTGCTAAACTACTTACAAGCTAGTATTTGTCGCCGGAATAGTTTCAAATAGGAATGTGCCACTAAAGGTAGATTTTAGTTTTAAAAATCTGCCTAAAAGCCATTAAAATGTTTTGAGGAGATTATTTTTTGAAGCTACAGTACCTTCTGCAAAGCGGTTCACTGTCACCCCGGTCATGTCACCGGCCTCCTTTTCCGTCTTCATGTCGGATGTCAGAAGTGGACCTTCTGCGGTGAAGTGCAGGTGGTGGGAACCTGGTTCGCAGCTCCAGACACGGCTGAACGGAGCAAGTCCCACAGGTGCTGCTGACAGCGAAGGCGGCCACCTGGTACCTTTTGAGACAACGGTACCTTCCCCTCGGCCAATCACAGCGGGGCCTGGCCCCTTCCCGCCGGTTCCGAGTGACCGCAACCGGGACTGGACCCGCCTGGCCGGCAACACATGTGCGCCGTGGGACCTGAACGAGCCTTATATGCGTTAGAAGAGATGGAGCTAAGTGAATGCGACAAATACGACCAGAAACAAGTACAGTATGAGGACAAATTAAAACAATTTGCCTGGAATTGCAATTTGACCATTATCAACAGAAGAAAAAGTTCCAATGGCGTTTTATGTAAATGGTTATTGCCTGTTAAGCATCCTGCTGCACATTGTTCACCTATGTTATTTGGTGAAATTCTGAAGGGTATGCTTTAAACCACAGTCTCCCTAAAAGAAGAAAACAATTAAAAAAGAGAGGAGGTAGGTACTGAAAATTCCAAGAGAACTGAATCTTTTTAGTCTCGAACAGAGAATATTTCATGGGTACCTTATACAAATATCCAAAATCCTTAAGGGCCCTGACAAAGATAAAATCACATGGAAGTGGACTTTTTCAGAGAAATTAACAGTGAGATACAAACCAGAGAACAAGCAGAAACAATGAGGAAGTATATTTATAACAGAGAATCAGAGGTACTTATTTACACAAAGGATTGTGGGAGTGTGGAACAAGTGACTCAGCCATGTTTTTGAAGACTTTATTGTGGTTTCCTTCTAGAAACACGCGGATAAGACTGTGGGATCAATTAGCTACTTACTGTATTGCCATGTGAGCTAGATTTGGCTGATTGATCTCCTCTCATTTTCATTTGTCTCCTTATGATCTTAATTTCAGTTGTCATTCTAAATGGAAGCGTTAAAGTTGCAATGACCAACATTGCTATAAATCTTACAGATATGCCCCTTAAAGGTGAGGAGAGTGCATTTTCCAGAGCTCAGAACCCTAAGCTTGAGAATGACTGTGGCAACCATGGGCTTTTCCACAGTGCAATGTTACAGCACTCCTGTGGCCTGCATGTTCTGTGCAGAGGGGTTGGGATTAGCGCCTCGGAGGACTGGGCTCCATGGTTTAGTTCAAGCGAGGCAGAGACAGCCAAGGCCCTGAGTAAGTGCAGGATGGGGCCTCAACTGTTGTCAGACTTCCAGCATCCATTATAGCTGAGCAGGCTAACCCCCAGCTGGCAGCAGGGCAGCCTCAGCTCCCATTCCTGGCACAGAGCAGGGGGAGACGCCTGCTGGACAAAGACAGCAGCTGACCTTCCTGCTTCGGGCAGAGACGGCTCTCCTGCTAGGTCAGGTGTCACAGCCTCAGGACAGCTTTAATTGTTTCAGTTACAGTTTTCAAATGCCAAGGGTTTGTGCTGCAAATCAGGACAAGCAATGTTTGGCAAGATGTTACACAGTTATTGCCACAGTATTTGTGAAAAATAGAGCTATAAATCAGAATAATAATAATAATAATAATAATTGCTTACACTTATATTGCGCTTTTCTGGACGCTCCACTCAGAGCGCTTTACAGGTAATGGGGACTCCCCTCCACCACCACCAATGTGCAGCATCCAGCTGGATGCTGAATATTAGCAGAATATTAGCAGTGGGAATAATACGCTGCAGTACAATATTAATACCGCACAACACACCACAGAGCAATACAGTGGAATTACAGCACAACATCTCCTTGTGGAAATAAAGTGTCCATCCCACTTGATTAGAACTGGTGTTTGGTGTCATCCACCCTCTTCTTTTACTTGAACAGGGTGTAATCCTGGCTGTCCAGAACATGTCTGCTTCTGTCCTTCAAGCTGTGAGTCTGGTTGTCTAGATGTGTGTCCACCTGCTGTCCTTCAGGCTGTGAGTCTGACTATCCAGAGTGTGTCCACCTCCTGTCCTTCACACTGTGAGTCTCTGTCCAGGGTGTGTCTACCTGCTGTCCTTCAGGCTCTGAGTCTGACTGTCCAGAGTGTGTCCACCTGCTGTCCTTCACGCTGTGAGTCTGGTTGTCTAGCGTGTCAGGTTTATTAGGTCCATGTGGTCTTAGAGTGCACGACATTTGTTGATGGTGTATTCTTTAAATTTATTAAACAATCTTTTAGAATGGAGGTCTCTCAATTGTAAGAATCCAAAATTGCAGAGTACTTTGCAATCTGTGTAACATTAACACTACTGAAATCCATGTTATTTTGCACCTTAGTGTAATCAAGTCAAAGATTAAAACAGTTAGGGCCAAGCAACAGTTATTACAAGCAGAGATTATTAGAAATTATGTTTCCAATTATTTTTTTAAAGTTTTCTTTGGCTTGAGGGCTGATTCATTAGGTAAGTAGGGTGAGCAAGATTCCTAGAAGTGTGAGAAACGATGACATTTCCTACCAGTCTCACTTTAACCCACCTCAGACCATGTTTCCATAATTCCTTTAAAAGCCTTGAATTCTCCTCCTTGTTCCACACAAGTACCCAGCATGCCCCAGGTCTGCAACACTGATTGAAAGACAAACACCACTTCACACACATTCTGCAGGTTCACTCAGACCACCTGCAACACATACCAGTTACAAAAATCAATTCCAGAGACCATTAGGACTAGTACCCACTCCTTCAGCGTGGCTTGCCTCCAATTAGGAAAGAAAGCCACTGGAGTTTATATTTCAATCACGGCTCGCACATCTGTGGGCACACACAGCAAAAGAAAATGGAGCAGGCGAAAACCCCTGTAACTGGCAGTACAGCCTCCTGCAGACTCATGCACAAGGACTATACTCGCACCACAGTTGGGGCCTGTTGTGAGAACATTAGGGCTTCCACTATACTCTCTTTAATACAGTGGACTCTCCACTTCATTGTGGAGGCCTTATATCCATCTTGTTGGTGAGCTCGGGGGTCATGCTTGATGGGAGAATTCAGCTGGGACTGTCAGCTGTTTGTCATTATTCGTTTAGCGCCCTTTGAGATTTGTTTGCAGTGTGGCAAATGTAGAAGTATGGTCAGCTTTTGAGCACATAATAGATAAATCAACCAGAATTAATTCTGATGTGTCCGTATTCCTGTATGAAAACATCATCGCATCACAGGAATATTCCAAAATCACCAGGAATACAAGACACGCTGGGCTAATCCTTGCTCTTTTCTCATCTGCAGTCACACAGCGATCCAATATTAACTATCTTGGTGCAGAATGTATTCTATTGTACTGCAGTATATTATGCCCATTTCTAATTGTGGTTGAATTTTACAAGGTAATAGAAAAGAGGGGAGGAGGCTGATGACAAAAACAAGTTTAATAGGAGGAGAATAAATAGCAGGGGGGAACATGAAGAAATCTCTTTCCTTGATTTGGTTTTGATAACCTTTTCCAAGAAACAGCTCCTGTTGGGCAAAGGGTTGTGCTCTCGCAGAATGGCACTGACTGATGTCAAGCCAGAAACACCATCAGCCGGGAGGCAGCTGCCTGGTGCAGATGGAGCAGCAGTGACTGAGTGCTCCCCAGGGCTCAGGACTCAAGCCCGCTGCTAACTCGTCAATGAACAGTTTCAACAACAGACGGCTAAGACTTCCAAAAGAGGGCAAGTGCCAAGCGATATGTGTTGTTGATCTGAAGTTGCAGCAGCACTCGAAGAACAGCCTCATGAACAGTGCTTGATGAAACGCCTCAGTGTATGAAGGACTGTAAACATGTTTGTACAGCTGTGCTAATTTAGTTAGGCAGCAGAAGAGCAGAAACACAGGACATATTTAGATACACAATGTAATGCCCTCCCTAGCAGCTGAATAATAACATTTCTGTCAACTGGAGGAAGGAGCTCAGGTTCTTCGCTTTGGAACATGACTATCCAGGGCAATCCCCATTGACTGCCCATACTGTTAAGAACTCAATCCTCAGCTCCTTATATGGTGAAGTTCCAAGCCACAACTTCATAAACATGCTTCCTTTCACTCTTCTTTTTGAAAACCATCCTTCAGCAGTGGCCTACAAAATATTGTCTATGACAAACTTCTTTCTTTCTATAACTTCGGAAAAGTTGCAAATTCATATTACACTATTTTTTTTTCATGAAGAATCTTGTAAAACATTGTGCACCTCTGTGGATTGTGTACTCTCTACACACTGAAATGTAGCAGTCACATTTCCACCTAATTTTATAAATGAGAAAGAAGTACAAAGCAGTGTCAGCATGCAAAAGACACATCTATAGAATCCTCCACAGCCAGAACATTGTGTTATTGTTCCAGTTTTTCAGCATGGAATGAACCTCTACTTGTACCATCATAAACATTTATTGTGGAAAAACAAGGTATTGTCTTAACAGAAGTAAATCACAGTGCAAATATGGTGAGGCCTAAATCTCTGCTATACTCACTGTGTATCTCTTCTACACCCATCGAATGTGTGTCTGTGAGTAACTCTGCACACATGAGTATGGGGACAGCGTGAACCTGCAGCACCTCTGACCTGCTTACAATCTCACACCTTCTCCCCAGTGAGGCACAGTTGGCTGGGCCCTCAGCCCCCTCCTTCCCCCAGCTCAGCCATTCTCTAACTCCCTCTCCTTTCCAGAGCTTTGGAAACTTTCACCATTGGCTCTTATCAGCTGCTTTGTAGTATTTTTAGGGCTGTCATCCCATCAGTGTGAGAGCTGGGTAAACCCCAGGCTCCTAGATCTGGGTATAAAAGAGTCCCAGGGTTGAGGAGACAAACAAACTGTCGTGTTATGGAGAGTGAACGCAAGACATTGACATAGACAGACAGACTGACCTCACAGGGTAAGGACCTGTCTCTTTGTTCATTCCACATTATTTATAATCCTGCATACCAGGGTTATAAACAGTACATTCAAACAAACACATAGATTTTCTGCATATTATAATATACTGTATAATGAGCCATAATTAGTCATAATTTTGAAGAAATGCATTTTCTGTAAAGAACGGCCAGATACAACTTCTTATTCCTTATTAGTCTTATTAGTCTCATTGGTTTTGGTGCTGAAAGTGTT